CATAAAACATAGGAAATAGCTAAATAAAGTATTATCTAGACATTAGGAAACAAAAGAGTATGAATTCCATATTTATACACAGAATAGTGAATAACAAGACAAAAGAAAAATCAACTTGCTCTGCGCAGTCACCATAAGTTCATAGCCACAAACAAACACAACTTAGTCTAACTGTGCTGAAGGGTGGTTAAGAAATAATGCTACACGCCACCCCCAAATCTCCACAGCCCTGCAAGATTCCAGGCGCTTGTCAAGGGTCTGCGTTTCATTTTGGAAAAATGAGGCACTGCAAAGACTGTGGTGTCTTTACGGTATATGAATTATTTACACATACATACAACCTGAGCATACAAGGGAGAGGTCCACAGCATACATACCCCAAGAAGCTTCTTCTATAGCCACAGTAGCCCTTTAGACTTAAGCAGACCCCAACCACTGTTTTCAAACATTGCTCTCTCTCCAGCCCGCTACTTCCCAACACTGTTGCTTAACTCCTAACTGCCTTTCTAAACAAAACCTTTCCTTAAAACACTGGCATTGTCTTTTTAAACTAAATCCTCAGTTGAGGGAGCAATAAAATCCACTGATTTGCAAATGGTGTATGCACCTTTTATCTTTTGGCTTGCTAATAGATCATTACCCCAAGCTAACACCTCAAAGGGAAATTATTTGACTTAATTAACTCTTAAAACATGTTGATTTCCTTAGAAATCACGTTAGAAGTATCTAACGTAAATATATGTATAAAATATAAGAATGCATTTAGAAAATAAATAAATAAATAAATAAGCAAGCAAGGGGGTGGAGAAGTGTCTAATACACGATTCAGGCAGTTTGCCTTAGTTTTTTACACAGGCTAATTCCAAAGGGTTAAAGCAGGGGTAGGCAACCTAAGGCCCGGGGGCCAGGTGCGGCCCAATTGCCTTCTCAATCCGGCCCGCAGACGGTCCGGGAATCAGTGTGTTTTTACATGAGCAGAATGTGTGCTTTCATTTAAAATGCATCTCTGGGTTATTTGTGGGGCATAGGAATTTGTTCATATATTTTTTCAAAACATAGTCCAGCCCACCACATGGTCTGAGGGACAGTGGACTGGCCCATGGCTGAAAAAGGTTGCTGACCCCTGGGTTAAAAGCTTCTAGCACACATCTTAATACACACTGTTATTGATAACTTTCTAACACTTGGGGGTCTGACAACACTCAATCCTTAATTAAATTCTAGCACCTACAACAAGCCTTTAGAGTGGTACCTCTCTGAGCCTGGCTTCGGTTGGGGAGGGCGGGATATAAATAAAATTTTATTATTATTATTACCTCGGGTTACATACATTTCAGGTTACATATGCTTCAGGTTACAGACTCCGCTAACCCAGAAATAGTACCTCGGGTTAAGAACTTTGCTTCAAGATGAGAACAGAAATCTTGCTCCGGCGGTGAGGCAGAAGCAGGAGGTCCCATTAGCTAAAGTGGTGCTTCAGGTTAAGAACGGTTTCAGGTTAAGAATGGACCTCCAGAACGAATTAAGTTCTTAACCCGAGGTACCACTGTATAGCAATATTATGCACGTGGCTCTCAACTCACCCTGAGGTTATGTTCCAGGGATAGTGTGTAAAGCCAAAATTGTGTTTAGTCAAAACACATTGAATGCAATGGTGGGTGGGATTGCCGAAGTATCCCCCCCCCCCCCGGGCACCTGTCCGCATTCTGCCCTCTTTCTAATTTTTAAAAATTGTTTTGCTAAGTGCGTAAAGCTGAACCTGCACAAGTTTAATATGTGTAAGTTGTGAGTTACCTGTACATGCATAATGTGTAATGCTACTGTGGGGAGGGGGAGGTTGCACCAGCCCTCTTGCTACTCTTGCACTCATGGGCTTCAGTATCTGTAAATGGTACTCTAAACAAATGGTGGCATTATGCTGAAAAAAGGCACCAAAAGGAGCAACCACATCCTCTTCGACAGAAGAGAGAGCTCTGGCTCCTCCTGCTGGGTGATGCAGGCCACACACACAAGGTTTGAACTTAAAGGGAACTTTCCTAGACAGAGACTGCAATCAAGCTACATATGAAAAGCACATGACTTCCCTCCAACAATCCTGGGAACTGTAGTTTGTCCAGGATGCTGGGAACTGCAGACCTGTAAAGGATAAACGATTGCTCCCAGGATTCTTTGGGAGGAGTAATGCACTTTAAATGTTCAGTGCCCGCAACCAGAGGCATGCAGGAGCTCTTGTGTGAGACAGGTTGTGATGCAATTGTAAGATAGCCTCAGTACTCATTTGCACCGCTGCTTTCCTGCACCAGCACATATCAGAAGACACAATTTAAATCTCACATGCGAAAATGTCCTAAGGCTGAGCAGCAAGCTATTTAATCAGCAGCAATGAGTGGTGAAACCATTGTTGGGCTGTACCACTTCAGCCTGCAAGTGAAGGATTGGATGTTTTGGTGCTGATACACACACACACACACACACACACCAAAAAAACCAACCACCACCTCCCTATGTATACAGAGCTAGTAGGAAGAAAGCCAAGACAGAACCCAGGGATCATTCACACATGCAACACCTTGTGTTAGGAGAGGCAGAGCCAACAATTGCAGCACCACGTGACTCCCTTGTGCAGCTTGCTTTTAAAGTCAAAAAGGAATGCAAAATGTGCAGCAATTGTCATTTTGTATCAGGATAGGGAGGGGAGGGGAGGGGAAGGGAGGGAGGGAGGGGAGAGAGAGAGAGAGAGAGAGAATGTGAATGAGAGAGCAAAAGATTCTGGGATGCCTGAGGAATTTAAACTTTGCAAATTCCAATACAAACTGGCATCATCCACATGTTCTACTACACCAATATCAATGCAGTTATCCACTAGCATCTACACCTACCAAATGTTCTGGCATGGTTAGGACCATAGGAAGGCTTCCTTATACAAAGCCAGACCATTGGTCTATCTAGCTCAGCACCAGCTGCACTGACTGGCAGAGGCTCTTAAGGGTTTCAGGCAGAGGACACTCCCAGCTCTATCAGGACATGTCACATCTAAAGGATGTCACATAGAGGAGGGAGAAAGGTTGTTTTCTGCTGCTCCAGAGAAGCGGACACGGAGCAATGGATCCAAACTACAAGAAAGAAGATTCCACCTAAACATTAGGAAGAACTTCCTGACAGTAAGAGCTGTTCGACAGTGGAATTTGCTGCCAAGGAGTGTGGTGGAGTCTCCGTCTTTGGAGGTCTTTAAGCAGAGGCTTGACAACCATATGTCAGGAGTGCTCTGATGGTGTTTCCTGCTTGGCAGGGGGTTGGACTCGATGGCCCTTGTGGTCTCTTCCAGCTCTATGATTCTATGATTCTATGATTCTAGGACATGCCAGGGATTGCACCACTGAACAATGACACCTTTTGAACATTTCTCTGTTCAAAAGTGTATCTAGAGTACATTTGTGAATGCATATTTCCTCCAGGCCAGCATTCCATGGGCCACATGGCAGTGGTGGCCAAGGCCAGAAAGAAAAGCTATAGATGCAAAATTTGCCTCCAGACAGCAGGCAATCTTACACACATATTCCTTAATCCAGGCAACTGATGCGAGCTGGTCTTTGACCGTAATAAATTATCTATCTATCTATCTATCTATCTATCTATCTATCTATCTATCTATCTATCTATCTATCTATCTATATCTATCTACAGTGGTACCTCGCAAGACGAAAAACTCGCAAGATGAAAAACTCGCTTGACGAAAGGGTTTTTGGTTTTTTGAGTTGCTTCGCAAGACGAATTTCCCTATGGGCTTGCTTCGCAAGACAAAAACGTCTTGCAAGTTTGCAGTGTTAACTCATAGCAACTCATGTTGCTGTACAGTGGTGCTTCGCAAGACGAAAATTCGCAAGAAAACTCGCAGAACGAATTAATTTCGTCTTGCGAGGCACCACTGTATATCTATCTAATCCAGGCAACCAAGGGGCATTATCAAAGTCCGAGAACATGCTGCAGCCAAGCAAAAGGAGTCAATGAGAGTAAGAGGCAGGGTCAGGAGCCAGGTGTTGCTCAGGTGAGTCCAAAGGGCTAGTCAGAGTGGCTCAAAGGGCTAGGGAACAAAGATCTGCTGGGTTGTGGTGGGGCTGGGTGGGATGAGAAGGTTATAGAATCTTTTAGCTAATATATATAAACGAAGTTGAGTGCATAGAAGAAATAGTGAGAAATAAACACTAAAGTTGCTGTGAATTGTGCTAGAGAATATTCTCCCTTTCTTGCAGTTCTGACTGCTTTCCAGTACGCTAATCAGGAATTCACACTTTCTAAGCAACCGTCCTACAAGGTCTGGCGCTCGCCACACTCCTAGAACCCATGTAGGTGGAACAGATGCTGGCAACAGCTCCTGGATCTCATGTTGTCATGTTGCTCACCAGCCTAGATCCCTCAATGGGCTTTTGTAATGCAAAGTTAGCCTCCCTCTACAACTTTGTGTATATCTCCAAGGCAACCAGGATTTTAGAAGGCAAGCTGGTCAACCTCTCTCGGGCCAGCACTAGAGGGCAGCAAATATCTGTAAACCAGCAAGAGGTACCTCTATCGTAATGCAAGGCAGCAGTCTTCAGATGGGAGTGTCACACACTTTGATCTTTGCTCAAAAAATCAGAGTGACCATGAAGAAATGTGAGGCTTTATATGGTTTGTCCCCTTCCTACGAACTCCCTAGGCTCCCAAATTAATTTTTTTCTGTGCCAGCAGGCTTTTAGCCTCACTGATTTCATGTTCTGCTTCCCAAGTATAACATGGAATAAATGTATCTAGGGATGGAGGTGGGGAAAGTCCTCATTTGGAAGCCTCAACTTCTATACAGATTGATAGATGTGCTCCAATTGGATTGTGCACCTCTCCAAACTTAGGGGACGAAGGCATATAAAATATGTATACAAAATGTGAACACTTTAAATGCAAAGTAGGGGCCCTTTAAAAAATCTCCAAATAAGCCTTACACACTTACACACACACACACTACATACCTCTTTTATTCAGTAGATAGATGGGAACAATGTACAACATGACATGCTGAATGTAATAGACCTCCAATTCAAAAGGTAGCTGGGGAAAGAAGGAAAAGAAAGCAGTAAGTACTTTGCATAAATTAACATAAGACTATAGATGGATCAGGCAAAAGGCCCATCTAGTCCAGTACTCTGGTCTCACATTGGCCAACCAGATGTCTTTGGGAAGCCCACAAGAAGGACCTGAGGGCCATAGTGCTCTTCCCACCAGTGACTCTCAGCAGCTAGTATTCAGAAGCATCCTGCCATCATTTATTTACAGAACTGCATCTGAGAATAGCCATTCAGGAGATGTTTCAGCTCAACTTTCTATGCATTCGTAGAGCGTGTAAAAATTAACATGGCAGCCTCCTTCAGTTTTAAGAAATCACACAACAGGAAAACAGATCTGAAACGCTTTCCAGTTCCAAAGCTTCACCAGTGCTCTTGGGTGACTAGTTCAAGGGTCACTGTGGACTCAAATCCTGGCACAAGAGAAGCAAAAGCTTTTGAGTCTTCAATCCCCAGCTGAGGATATAGATACTAATAGGTACTGGTTGTCAAGCCTTAGGGCAAAAATCACACAATTATGGTCATGGCCTTATTCACTCACTTAACAGGTTGTGTGAGCCATGTAATATGTGAGATAATAACCCATATAATTACTGTGGTGTAAAGTACTGCTATCCCTAGTGCATTTCAGGTTCATCATTAATGTTTCCTGGTTGTCACTGGTACTAGAAAATGTTCGGAAGTGAGCAATTGTGACTCACAGCCTCTGATTTGCAGCACATAGCCCATAATGCATTTGGTCTTTTCTTCTTCTTCTGAAAGTGCACTGAACAACTTCATCACAGCCTCCCACTAATTATGGAGCCAATTTTTCAAGCTTTGTTACCCTTAACTTTGGTTTGCAAGGAGTTCAGCTGTTTAGATTTCATGCTGAATTGACTGGTTAAATTGACATTTGCAAGAGCATCAGATGTTTACTTGCAAAGCTTTGCTTGTTTTTTCTTGGATCATCAAGGTTTGTTCTTGACTTACCACTCCTGGTTTGTTTGAAGCAAAAGAAATCATGGGCCCAGGTTCAGATGTAATGCTTGAGCCAAACTATGGCTTAGCTCCTGGTACGGCTGAGTGATATATCAATATATTGTCAAAAACTGGTTTGAAGCCCATATCATTATATCAGTTTCGTAATTTTTGACCTGGCAATGTATCACAAATCATGATGTATGTGTGCGTGTGTGCACGCTATGCAAAAATCACAACACAGGAAAAACCATGAAGCCACCGTCCTTATTTAAGACATTGTGATATATTGGTACAGTGGTGCCTCGCAAGACGAAATTAATCCATTCTGCGAGTCTCTTTGTCTTGCGGTTTTTTCGTCTTGCGAAGCACGGCTATTAGCGGCTTAGCGGCTATTAGCGGCTTAGCGGCTATTAATGGCTTAGCGGCTTTAAGAAAAAGGAAACAAACTCGCAAGAACTCGCAAGACGTTTCGTCTTGCGAAGCAAGCCCATAGGGAAATTCATCTTACGGAACGACTCAAAAAACGGAAAACCCTTTTGTCTAGCAAGTTTTTCGTCTTGCGAGGCATTTGTCTTGCGGGACACCACTGTATATTGTAGTGTTTAGCTGGTGCAGGAGCAGGTTTAGGTGAAAGGACTGTGAGATCATTTCTAGTCCTAAAAATAAATGCCTTCTTTCTAAACGTACCGAGGCTCCCTATGCAAACATTTTGCATCTGGCTCTGATTGGTGACTCTCAAAGCTATAGGAAAAATCAAAGTAGGTCCATACATCCTGAAGTCTACCCACCCCTAAATTACACTACTTAGAAAGGGTCTTAAATAAACAGCAAATCCTCTCAAAAACATAAAATCTTCACAAATTGCTAAATATACACTTTGGCCAACTGTTTTAAAAAGTTTTACAAAAGGCCCCCATGGCAACATGGGGGCCTTTTATGACACTTGTTGTTAAGCAAGGTGACAATTTAATGCCACCAGAATCCCAGATGTCTTTCTGGAAAGATTTAATACCACAACATTTGCTAGTTTAATCCTCATTGCTATCTTAGTCACATGTCTGTATTTAGATATTGTAAGTATATCTCCCAGTGATATTCTTAATATGCAGCTGACAGGTATTATGCTCTGTTTGGATGTATTTTGTTACCTATTATTATTTATTAATGATAATGATGAAAAAAACTTGCACAGAAAACATTTTTAAACTGTGATTTTTTTGAACAGTTTTAGGTAAAAAACAAACACACAAAGTATTCATTTCTGACAGGGTTCCTCTACTGTTTTACATAATCACCACAAAGGGAACACTTCTGAAAAATGATTCTGCTGCAACAACATGCAGAACAAAAACAATCTTTCATAGAATGAGAATGGTTTGTTCTCCAGTTCGGCTAACAAAACAAGTATGTTTCCTGGTACACTGCCGGCATCTGTCTAAACAACATAATTAAAACAAGGAATAGCCAACACCCACTGTAATCTAAGATGAAAAAGGAAGAACATCACGTCTATCAAATTAAACACAGCCATACAGAGTAAACAGTAGCACATTTCATGTATTCATGACACCATGCGTGACAGGAAACAAGGGCACACATATCAGGGCACAAGGGCCTGAGTAGGCCCCTGATGAAGGAAGCCAAAGGCTCATCTACTCCAGAACTCTGTTCTGACAGTAGCCAATCAATAGGATTAGTGCAACATCACTCTCCCCTCTTGTGAATCCCAGGAAATTGTATTCAGCAGCAGTATCCTAGTTTAAGAACAAGTACCTGGGTTCACAAGAGCAAAAATTAATACACTCAGTTCCTTCTCTTACAGCCAGGGCTGGTGCACCCATGAGCCAAGGTGAGATGCAATGACAGGTGGGGGTTAGTTGAAACCCAGACTTGGATGCTTTCAATCAGCTCCTCAGGGCCACAGGAGTTTACATGCCAACCTAGCCATTATATTACAGAGCCATACTATCATTAATGCTACTAATGGTTTTGAGAGCACAAAGCACTTTGCCTACATTATCATAGTACTCCTTGCAACCTATTATGCTAAGCATTTCTGCCCCATATAATGCAGCTGGGGAGATACTTGGGCTGAGAGAGAGAAAGGCTTGCGTAAAGTCGCCTAATAAGTTTATTACAAGATTAAAGCAAGATTTCAACTGGGGCCATTCCCATTCTTCACTCTTAGCCATAATTTGACAATATTGTAAGCAGCCTGTCAACCCTGAGGAGGGCCAAGAGGCAAACAAGGTAAGACAGGAGCAATCCCTGAGAATCTCTTAACTATATGCATTATGTAGCAAGGATTGAAGGAAATGGTGAGTGCAGGGGGGGGGACCTGGGTGTTCTGGATTTTCCAGTGTTGATATTGCATCATCCTAAGAAGCACGGCCAGCCATCTAAGAGGAAGCCATGAATGTGCAGATCAGGAGCAGCTTAGTCAAAACCACAGTTGCTGTTTATTAGTCCAGGCACATTATTGCACAAGTATGACTATTCTTACCAGTAAATTGTTACAAAACATTTTCCTGCATAGTGAAGTGAACACCATAGAAATCCTGGACACAAGGGTCACATTGACTGATGACCAAAAAATAAACAAAATATGCCAAATCTGATCCCGTGGCCAGCAACTTTGTCAGACAATTACATACATGGCATTTGCCATTAAAGGATACATGTAGAGAGAAAGGGTGATAATTCAACTGTTATACCCAGAGTAAATCCACTTAATTCAATGGACTTACCCCTAAAGGCTGTTAACCTCACTTACCTGTGAATAAACACCACTGAATTCAACAGGACATACTTCTGTGTAAATGTGGTTAGGGTTGTGCTGTAAGAGCCAAACACTGAATGGATACATGCCAACATGTGAGAGAGAGAAGCTCCCACACTGTGCATCTTATCTATCTATCTCTTATTTATTTAGAATATTTGTAATATGCTCTTCAGCCAAAAGGGCTCCCAAGAGTGCCTTACATACAGTCAAAGCAAGGCAGCCCCTACCTGAAGGCTTGCAATCTAAGTACAAAATGAAATCCCAACACACATATGAAAAGGGACAGGGAAGAAAGAAGAAAATCGAAACCAAAACTCAGAGACCAATTCCTAAACAGTTCTTCCCAGCTAGCACAGGTCAGGGGCAGGAGATGCCTGGAGGAGCTGGGCTACCAGCATCTTGTGATGCTTAAAAGTTAAACATGCTTTGATAGAGGAAGCACCCACAGTTTAACTACCATTTAAGTTTTACTACAGGCTCTAAAATGTGTTTCTTGGTTGAGACACAAAATTGGCATGCTGGCAACTCATCTACAACTAAAGACACTGAAAATTAATGACAAGAGGAGCTTTTATTAGTCATCAACAGCTATTATACTCTACTCATATTTCCAAATATGAGTTTGGCACAGAACAGCACGTTACTGTTGCACTATTGGTGGCATGCATCTGCCTCGAGAGACAATGGAGTGTGTGTGACCCCAGAGATGAAGCCAAACTGCTGTATTAGCAGCACAAAAGTCACACACACACACACACACACACACACACACAAGCCTGACGCAAGCCTGGGCAGTGTATATGGAAGTCCTGGGCTGCCTAGCCAACAAGACTCCCCTCTTGGCCTGCACCGTAACACCTCCCCTTGTTTCCAGAATCCCTGTACACCATATCATTATCATCATCACTCTTAGCCTGATTTTCTGGGAATGATCCATTCAGTTGATGGATGGGGAGCCTGATGCTCTCCAGATGTTGCAGGACTACTATCCCCAACAACACCCAGAAGTCACTATGTTGGCTACCTGGAGGGACGCAGGTTCTTCTTCACTGACCTAGTTGTTCCAACACAGTGCTTTTGCCATTCAGCCAGCAAATGCACTTGCAGATACAATGGCAGGTGGAGGTTGGGGGTGGAGCCAGAGTTCTGAGCAGCCCTACTGTTTGGGAGGAAGCATTAGCTGCCGCTGCTAGGCTACCTCCCTTACATAAGAATCAAGCATTGTACAATGGAAGAGGCAG